GATCGATAGTTTTAATTCCGCACTTGTATCGATTAGTCGACACGATTAATTTTAAAAAAGACTATTCACTCCCTCTAGTCACCATCTTGACCCTTTGAGCCAAGCCGGGCGGTCCGAATGGTCATCTTTATCCGTGACCCCAGCCGGCAAGCAACACCGGTCGGCGCGTCCTGGGGCGGCGTGCTAACCACAGGTACCTCGTCCGCACGCCGGCGGAGCACAGTGGCAGTGCCGTAGTACGCCTGTACTAGTTCATCCGCTGGCTAATCATCATTGCATTGGGTTCCCGTTCCCCTAATCAAGTAGATTAGTGTACATCAGGTTGCCTCCCTGCCAATCACCAGTTCACCACCCCTGATCAACGCACGCACTGTGAGGATCTGCCAGTAGTTAGTTTTGTTTTCAAAATTGTGCATGAGCGTTGAACATCCTGAATTTATACAAGAATTTTTTTTAATCTGTGCGTTGCTTCTTAAATTCAGGATGTTTACTCATGGACTTGTGTCATGAGTCCCGGTACTAGAGACTCGCGAGTTGATGGCTTGATGCTCTCGGGCGGCGCCCTCCATGGGCCATGGCGCTGCTCACTGCTGCCACCTGCTCCCTTCCAATCCGGTGCATGCATCCAGGTTCCGTCCGAGTGCAAGTCACTGCCACGAGCAACAGCATCTGCGATTCACAATCCATGTGCTCGCCCGGACGATCGTACTAAAAAAAAGTGTAGACGGGGACAGGACAGGCTCGTCAGCGTTTGCTCACCTCACGATTGCGCCCTGATCAGTGATTTCTCTCCTCCACTCCAGCTCCTGCCCTGCCCATTGTTCACAGAAAATGAAAGGAAGCACACGGGCACACGCACAAGGGGACACAGCCATCTTTCAGCCTGTTCGCTCCTTGTTTCACCGGGCTTATCACCAACAACAATGATTTTTTTTTCTACAACAACCTAGCACTAGTTGGCCTTATCAGTCCAGAAATCAACCAGCGAACAGGCCGTTTGTTTAATGTCTCACCGGAGCTGCTGACCCAAGACGAGCAGGGCAAATGCTGACCTAAGCCTGTTCGGCTGGTTTCTGCACGGTTAAAACCGATTGATGCTGTGTTTGTTGTGAGAAACATGGTAACATGATTGATAAGCAGTTCAATCGAACAGGGCTGATAAGCAGTATTTGAATGTGCACGACTTTGGTCAACGTATGACCTGACACGGATGGATTTAACATGGTTCTCGGTTAACCCAACCCCCGGCAGATGCTCTGTTGCCATCCAATCACAGCTTGGGAAATGAATGAAACCTGGGCAATGTGTAAGTAGGTCTGGCTAATCACCATCAGCCAGCAGGAGTATCCGTCGCCCAGATTCTTCTCACACCCAATCATGGTAGTAGAACACACTAACGATGCCATCATCAGGCACTGAACTCATCATACAGACAATACACATATATTTCTTTCTTTCTAGCAGAAACCAAACCAGTGAAGTCTGGGCTACAACCTACATCTTTTACATCCATGGATGGTTACACCAGCCACTGACGAGGTGCAAGTAAATAAAACGTCATGTTCTTCGGCAGGTGTTTTTCTCTCACGCCAAATTAGCATTACTATCCGTGTAAGCCAAATTTCACCGAAACGTACGGGGCCAAAGATGCAAAATTTTCACCAGTCTCATTCAATAATAATATCTTTACCTCGCCGTTGTACACTTACTGTTGGCAGAGAACCATAACTCCTTGCTGCATGCATCTGTTCATGTGTTGCCTCAAATCCACAGCTTGGCAACCTCGCAGATGCAGATGCAGATGCAGATGCAGACGTAGTACTAGTCCAAGTGTGATGTCGAAGCTAACCCACCTGCACCCGCTGCACGCAAGAAACCGGCCGGGCAATCCGAGGCGTTGTTCTCCTCCCAAAATACAGGAGTACCAACTGATGACCTGACCAGAGTGACCAGTGACCACCGGCCATCCCATACGCGATGTGCTGCCGTCACCGGCGGTCGCACAATTGCGTGCGGGGCACACCAACATGTTGCCATCCTCCCAGCAGGAGCAGGGCGTCTTGGATCGGTTCGCCCAGCAGAACCAGGACCAGGCGGTCACGGTGCACGGACACGCATGGCGTGGCCGGGGTGGCGGCAGCCGGCAGGCACCGCGCTTGTTCCTCTTCGCAAGGCAGCCTGCCTCTCCGTCCGCCCGTTCATCCAGCTGCTCCGGCGGCCAAAGGGCCAACCCGGCCTGTTGCTTGCGTCCGCCGCCTGCCATGCTTGTTCGTGCGTGCCACGCGACGCCGTGGCATACGTGTTGCGTCCGCGGCTGCTGCTGTACCCGCATGGCCGCATTCAAACTGGGGAGCCGTGCAGAATCAATCCGTCCGTTCGTCGCTCCGTCCAGCGATTGATGGATGGCGATCTCTCTGCAGTGCAGTGCGATTGCCGCTGTCTCCTCGTCGCCGTCCCGCCCCGCCCGACGACGACGACCCCTGAATTCTTCTTGGGAAAAAGAAAAACCTGCTTCTTCTTGGTGTCTGATGACTCGATCTCCTGCTGCTGATCGAGCTGCCTTGAATTACCGGCAACCTCCTGTGTCAGTGCTGAGCTGTGCGGCAGGCGGCGGCATCTTCAACGGTGCTCTGCTCTCCCTGCTGTTACTGTCGAATCAGCCAGTACGGCCTTGACTCCGCCGCTTCCCCGATGCTGACCAGCTGTTAGCGACTAAGCCCTTGTTTAGGTGGTGTTTGGTTCTTTATTCGCTCCTGAAATTTATGTCACATTAAATGTTTAGAGGTTAATAAGGAGCATTAAATATAAATTAATTATAAAATCAATTACATAGATGGAGGCTAATTTCCGAGACGAATTTTTTAAGCCTAATTAATCTATCATTAGCACATGTTTACTGTAGCAACACATTGTCAAATCATTGACTAATTAGGCTTAAAAGATTCGTCTCGCAAATTAGTCGTAAGTTATGCAATTAGTTTCGTAATTAGTCTATATTTAATACTTCATGCATGTGTCCAAACATTCGATGTGACAGGAATTTTAGGAGTAGGAGAAGGAACCAAACATGCCCTTAATTCGCGAAAACTTTTCCCAAAAAGTGATATAGTAGCCATCACATCGAATCTTGCGATTCGTGTATGGAGCATTAAATATAGACGAAAAAAACTAATTGCACAGTTTGGTTGGAAATTACGAGACGAACGTTTTGAGCCTAATTAATCCATGATTGAACACTAATTGCCAAATAAAAAAGAAAGTGTTACAGTAGCCAAATTTTCAACTTTCACCCAACTAAACACGGGCTAAGGCCTGGTTTAGTTCCTAAAAATTTCCACCCCAAACTATCACATCGAATCTTACTGCACATGTATGGAGTATTAAATATAAACGAAAAAAATTAATTGATTAGCCATAAGTGCTACAGTACTAACATACGCTAATGATGAATTAATTATGCTTAATAAATTCGTCTCGCGGTTTCTAGTCAAGCTATGTAATTAGTTTTTTTTATTAGTTTCCAAAAATCCCATCTCCGAAACATCCGATGCGACGTGCAAAATTTTTTCATTTCGCGAACTAAACGCATCCTAAACCATGTCCGGTTACTGTCATCTGCGTGCCTCCAAGATCCATGGCCATGGCCCAACAACTCTAATCTGAGACCAGTCTGAACCCCCAAGAAAGACGAGGAGCCCGCAAGTCAATCCGCGAGGTGTGTAGTCTCCCTTCATGTCGTGGCAACGAGTTCCTCCGATCCTCCTCCTCCTACATGGTGTTGCATTCAACAGAGACGGCGGTTTGTTTCTCCGAGCTGAGCTGTCAGGACTCAGGACCGAGGTTCCTTTTCAGTGAAGGAAACCTCCGATGATGATGCTGTCTGCTAGCTAAACAGTTTTCAGTCTTTCAGATGGTGCTAACCAGCAGTGTTTTTCTCGTTTGACGCCAGCTGCTTACGTGCTAATCTAATGCAATTGGAGCCACAACTACCCGGTGGTGCAGAACGGTGGACCGGTGATCTCACCCGTGCGTCATGACCACCTCGGTTCTGGAAAGCTACACCAGCATGGCGATCCCTCGCTCTCTGCTCGTGACGATGGAGCAGTGACGGAATCACGGCCCTGCAAGACCGCATCCGCCTCCGGCTATTACTCAGGGACTGTGACAGTGCGTGAACAAGCAGCCAGCTCAGTGCGCGCGCGGGTGAAATTCCCCAGATCTTTCGTCTCGTTGGAACGGATTATTCGCTGGGATTTGATTCAAAGCGAGGCGAGGTGAGATGCTAACTCGCCTGTGAGAAAGAAAGGCCCCTGAAGAAGAAAGGCATCTCTGCTCTACGCCCTCTTGGCAGCAATGAGTGAGGAGTATCAGGAACCTCGAACCTTATCGTCGCCTCCCTTTTCTGCATCCTCCTAAGTGCGCTGCCCTTTCTGGCCTAACTTTCTCATCCTCTGGTCTCTGCTCACTGCTCAGCTCAAGCTCAAGCTCAACCTCCCTCGGATCAGCTTTTATTCTGCGACCCTTTTCTGTGCCTGGTGATTCTTGCTTTGTGTTGTATACATGCCCTGTCCTGCTGTCACTGAAGCTATTCAGATTGTTGGGGGGCATCGGTTCCTTGTGGGGCTTGACTTGCTTTAGCTTCCTATTCCTGCTTGGTTTGGTTTTATCACTGCCAGTTGGCACAGTCGCTTGTTTTGGTGTCGTCTCACAACAACAGCAAGAAATCGAAACGGGGAAGCAAAATGCATCACAGTACAGTACAGAGGTTGAGCGAACGAGTGAGTGAGATTGTTTTGCTTCTCAAAACAAGACAAGATGAGCTACTATTGTGAAAGAACATTAGACACAGGAAATGGTGATCAATTGCTGAAAGGGAACTGATTAATTTCTCGCTAATTAACACAGGAAATGGTGATCAATTGCCGAAATGAGGATTCTACGGCAATTAGAACATGGCGCCGCGATTTGATCGACGGGCTAGCCAACTCTTCTACTCAGTCTCAATTAGAGGAGGCGACGCTGCAGCTGCTGCTGCCCCCTTCATCGCCGTCATCCTCTTCCTGGTCGACGGTCTCGGAGGCGTCGGTGACGCACGACGACGGGGACGACGGGCTCTCCGCCGCCGCGTGCTCTTCTTCTTCTTCCCCTGCCGCCACCAAGGCGGGCGCGGTGGCCGGCCTGGCCCTCCTGAAAATGCGGCAGACCACCCAGTCGGCCGCCGCGCCACCACCGGCATGGGAACTCACCTGGATTACAGATTCAGGTACATGAAATAGCAAGTTAGCCACCGTACGGTCGTCGCGAAGCACGAGCTACGTCAAGCCAGCCAGGATTGGCGCTTACATTAGTGGGCTGAGGCGCCTTGGCGGCGCAGCCATGGAGGTGGAGGCCGGCGGGGAGGAGGCGGTACTCGTGCATGGCCCAGTCGGTGCGGGCGCCGCCGCGGCCGCCACGGCGGGGGCAGAAGACGAGCGTCCGCTTGGTGCCGACGGGGCGCTTGCAGCGCGGCGAGACGACGAGGGTCTCCTTCCCGGACGGCCTCCAGACGCCTGTGCCGGCCGCCCTGGCCGCGCCGCCGCCCTTGCGCCAGCACCGCGTTGCCGGGCGGTGGAAGAAGAAGCGCTCCCCGTCGGCGTCGGCTGCTGCCCCTGCAGTTTCGTTCGTTGGATCGCGCGTACTCGTAGTCAGGTAAGGGACGCGAATGGAAGTGGACGAGCGGCAATGCGGGGAGTGGGGCGATGGAGAGGCACGCGTGGTACCTGGTGCGGCGGCGGGGAGGAGGTCCCACGGGTGGAGGCGCGCGAGGTCAGCGTCCGGGATGACGCCGGCGGGGAGCGGGCAGGCGAGCGCCTTGCGGCGGAGGTAGTGCAGCAGCAGCTCCTCGTCGGTGGGGCGGAAGCGGAAGCCGATGGGCAGGCCCGCGACGGGCACGCCGGGACCCCGCTGCTGCTGCTGATGCAGGCGCCACGCGCCGGGCCGGCACTCCATCGTCGGCCGACGGGATCGAAGCAGGATTGGAATTTTTTTTTGTGTGGATTTGTGTGGGTTGATCTGCCTGGCCGATCGATGTCAGATAGTAGACGACATGGGCGACCTGATTTTTGGCGTGGTGGGATGGGGATGAAGAAGGAGATGGATGGGATCCGTCGTCTCGGCGTCCCTCGTCGTGGGGAGGAGCGGAAAAGAGGGGGCCGTCGGCTCCGCCGTTTTATAAGGTAGCGGCGGTGGCGTGAACCGGACTCAACCCCGTCGAAAGTCCAAACACAACTGCCCTCCCCGTGCCCGTCTCTTCCTATTCAGCTTTCTTTTTTTCTCTTTTTTGAGCCACTCGAGTCCTAGTCCTGCTCAATGGGATGGGAGCACTGGCGGCCATGACTGCAATGCAACCCGGTGAATAATTTGTACTTAAGCTTGCATTTGCAGAGATTGAGAGATCAGTGCACTATAAACCGGCAGTAATTTCAGTTTCTACAACTGTACTAGTACTACTATTGCCCGTTGGTGTAGTATATCCTTCTACCTTTAACTGAAAATGAAAGAGCAATGGCCATGGGCAACAAGCCAACAAGGCAGGGCATTCTCACGAGTTACGTCTCGTGTCTCCCGGTGGTTGCGTTCAGTGCCCTCTCGGTTTCAAAAGGTACGGTCGGGTGCGGTTCCTTTCTCGGGCTTTGCTTGCTTGCGCTTGCGACTCCTCTCCCTCCGCCTGCCTTTTCCGCCATGACGAAATTCCTTCTCGTCGTGTCGTGGTCTCTCTTCTTCGCTCGTTCGCCGCCTTTCCCAACGGGAGCGCAAGGAGAAGCTTCCACGCCATGGCCACCGCCCCTCCTCCGTCCTCACCTCACGGCTGACGGGCCTACCAACATTGGATCCCCCCACATTCACCTCGTAATCTTGCTACAATACAAGATTGTTTAGCACGCCGCTTCCAAAAAGGGAACCCAAAAGTTACCGCCGACGTCTCTCGTGAGCTGCGCTACAGACAGACAGAGAGGCGCCGCGCCCGCGCGCTAGTAAAAGTCGTCGCCTTTGTCCTCTTTCTTTCTCTCCAGCTGGCGATGACCGACCGCCGTGCGGTGCCAAAGCCAGGCGGTATGAACAGCGTGGCGTGCGTGCGCGTCCCCCGTCAAATGTCAGCGCGTTTTGACCGGCAGGCAGCGGGCGCTTCGTCCACCGACCACCGCCGGTGGTCGGCGTATCGGGCATCGTCAGAAGGCAACACGGGTGGGTCTTGCCTTGCTCGACTCGCTCGTCAGGCGGAAACGCCACGAGCAGCAGCGGTTGCTTTTTGCCAGTGAGCCGTGACTCGTGGGTCAATGTGGCATGCCACTCGGTGCAGAGCAATGCAGCGCAAGGCATCAGGCGCGTTGGGGCAAGGCAACGCCTTTTGCAGTTGGCAGTGCCTTTCGGAGCCCGCCCGCCCAGGCGACCGCACGCGTACGTCCGCCTTTTTTGCCTTTGGGCCTTTTGGCATTTGCAGTTGCAGCGAGGAGAGGGAGTGCGAGGGCAGGAGGGTGGCCGTGCCCTGCGCGACGGGCACCACGGTGCCATGCATGGCGCGTGGCGTGCACGGACGACGACTGACGCCGGCACGTCCTGGGCGAGACGATTCTCGGCCCGGCCCTGCCCGGCAAGCAAGCCGGCGAGCGCTCAGCGCTCACGGACGGACGGACGCCCGCCCCATCACTTCAGTGCCATCACGTGCACCGCACTGCGCACTGGCCCGTGGGCGGTGGCCGCTGCGTGCGTCCATCCCCATTGACTGCGCGCGCGCTCGCGGATCCTCTCCTGTCAAGACTCAAGACCCCGGTGCCGTCCCCGCAAGTGCCACCCGCCGACCCGCGACAGACGGAGCCAGGAGTGCCCACGGGCGCACGTCTCCGGCGGTGGCACTCCGCTGGACGGATGGATGGATAGATGGGCAAGGCGGTGGGCCGGTGGCGGAAGCTACAGAGCATGGTCACCGGACGCTGCCGTGGCGGGCGAGGGATGCCGCCCGGCGCCGCGTCACGCACGCATCGTCCGTACGCGGCTAGGGGGCTAGGGACAGGACAATCGTGTGGGCCGTTTTCCAGCACCGGACCGGACGCCGCGGTTTGCTCGGCTTGCACGCAGAGCACCGAGGCACGTCTTGTTGCCCTCCTCCAACCTCACCCTGCACCTGCTCGGGTCCGGGTGGTTGGTGGCTGGCACGGAAGGAAGAGGGACGACGTGCCACCCGTCTGTCTCGGTGCCGTGGCAGCCTGCCTTTGCCTTGGCGTGGCTTTCGTGGATCGCGGGGAATGCCAACTCCAGCGAGCCTTGTCTTACAGAAAGGATGTGCGTACAGTACCACAACGAGTTTGGTGCGTCGCTCACGTCCGCTTTCAGTCCTGGAGTGGGGGAGAGAAGAGAGCTCCAAAGCTAGCTTACTTTCCACTTGGGAAGGAGACAAATGTTTTGGGGTGTTTTCTGTCCCCTAACCTGAAATAAGTATAGTAGTATACCACCGAGCACAGGCACGGCGACTTTTCGGCCTTGGATTGGATCAAGACGAGAGCTACTGGCCGGCCCAGCCGGAAGCCTGTTGGGCCCGGACGCGCACCAAGGCCACTTTCCCACTACGACGTGTTGGATTACAATCGTGCATCCTGGCC